CGTGGGATTGGCGGGTCTTGGGCTGGGATGGCTCCCATTGGCTGGCAGGCAGTCACAGGACGCCCACACACTCTCATGCAGTCGCCAGGTATATAAGAGTGCCCTTCTTCTCATTGGAGAGCATTGAGAGTGAATATCGTAACTGCTCTAGAGACTCTCCCACTAGGAAACCGGCAACATACAATCACTGGCCAGGTAAGTGGATTTGCAGTTCTCCGACCCTTGCTATGACAGCCGCAGCTCTTCCACCTTCTGTAGATCGCTGACTCTTATCTCTTGCTGCGGTCATCCATTTCTATTTTATATTAGCTGCTTCTGCAACTTCTTGTACAGATGATAAGACTGATTCATGGAATTGTTCCATATCTGCATAATACATTCCGCTGTCTGGGAGATAGCGGTCTCACCTGGTGGATCTTGTGGGACCACATTCCTGTTTCCTTTAGGTTTTTGGGTTTCTGAGGAACTGGGACTCCCAGCATGCCCAGGAGCCACAGGTTAATGTAGTTTGACAGCTTCAGTATGCAACACAAAGGAGTTGTCGCTGGGCTGCACAAGTTGAGTTAAAAGTCTCCATCTGCAGCTCCCAGGATGGTGAGAAACTACAAGTCCCAGTATGGCGACAGGCTCAATCTCTCCTAAAGCTTAAACGTTTGTTGACTCGATGAATAAAATATCAGCCTACCTTAGTCCAAGCTAAATCCTTATCACGATGTGACATTTATGTCCCTTTAATAGATTTTCAGATATTACAATTTTCAACTGAACTACAAATTTCGACCTGTAGCTTTCAGGCTGCCATGGAACTACAACTCTCAGCATGTCCAGCTGCAGGTTGAATGCTTCTACCAGCCTCGGTATATAACAATTATAAAATAGATTTCAGTGCATTGGAATTTTCATTTCATTGGACACAACGCTCCGGCTTCTAATAAGATTTTCTAATGAGGTAGTGTGAGGGCTGCCGGAGCCGGCAACTTGCGAGTGTAACGTTTTTGCATCTTCCTGGACAGGACATGATGGTTCTTGTGAAGGTCTCCTCCCTCGTCGCAGTCCTGGGCTTGGTGGTCAGCCAGATGTCCAGCACGCAAGCAGCGCCAGTCAGGTAAGAGTCCGGGATGGCGCAGTTTGGGGGATACCGGGTGTTAGGTTGCGGGACTGCGGCCGGGCACTCATACCCCTCTTCGTCCAATATTCATTCTCTTCTCTCTCTCTCTCTCTGTGAAGACCGGGCTTGGACTCCTTACCGGACCGGGTGACCATCAGTGACTACGAGGCACGGCGGTTACTCAATGCATTGGTCAAAGAGTTCATACAAATGACAGCAGAAGAGATGGAGCAGGGGGGTGACGGGAACAAGTAAGTGAGCCCTGCGGTGGGGGGGAATTGGATTTCCTATATATCATCCACCCCATACTATGCACACTGTACTGCTGAAACCTATATGATTTATTCAGGATCAGTCAATACAGTGCAGAGTACATTATATATACATAGGAGATGTCTATACATTGCAGAGTACATTATATATACATAGGAGATGTCTATACAGTGCAGAGTACATTATATATACATAGGAGATGTCTATACAGTGCAGAGTACATTACTGCACCCTATAAATGCATAGTATGATCTGTACAGTACTTTGCTGAACATTATATACACATAGGATATGTCTGTGTCTTCTCACGTTTCCTTTAAATATATCTCCTCTGTGTTCAGCAGTGTGCGGTGAATGCTCAGCCCTTTGCCTCTTCCTACCCTACAATCTAAGTATTCCCCTTCTCTTGCCCTCAGTGCCCAACACCTTGGGTTGGCTGTGTAATACCCCACTCAGCACAGCGCTTCCCAGTGGCCAACTTGTACACTGCTGCTACACAGGGGAGAATTCCCAAACCTGTCGGCGATCATTCAGTGCATTAGTGCAAAATGCAACCAGAATGGATGCCAACGTCCAGTTGCCCAGAACAGCTTCCCACAGCACCAGAATGAACCGTCCTGACGTCAGATCAGCAAATGATTAATTCCGATTGGTTGATGGCACTTACTGCACTTGGTTCACAATCCTTTGTGTCTTTCAATTGTTCTGCAGCTTCCTGCAGATCCATTTACTCATTCACTGCCGCAGGTGTTTATCAGGGGGTTTCAGTGTGTGTTAGAGAGAGAGCAAGTGACACCTGTCACCTCCAGACACCCCTGGGAGGGCAAATTGGATGATGTAAGGGTGAGGTAGGTTTTTTTTATCCCAGAAAAGGACCTGTGGAAGGGGGGACGGGGTGGGGAGTTTTGGTGGGGTGGCACTTGTGGGTCCCTTCAGCCACTGTGTTTTGCATGATCGCTGGTGTGTCTGCAGTGAGAACATTAATAACAGCTGGGCGTTTACACTGAGCGGTGACTTCATTCTTTGAGCGCACTGATCAATGGATGCATGCCCTGCATTAAAATACCCCTCCTCCCCCTGCAGCCAGCACTACCGCATGACGAGGCCGGATCAGCATGCCAGCAGCTAGGACCGCACCCCCACTGCTGCCAGCAAGGCATGGGCACCACTCACAATGAGTAGCATGACACACTAACAGGGCAAGAGCCAGTTCTGTATGGGCCTGGCATGGTCTGAGAATGTGGGGTGCAAGTTGCATGAGGGCGCATGTGTGTAACAATCTTATTTTATTTACTTTCTTTTTAGTTTTTGGCTGTTTTTTTTTGTGGTTTTTGGCATGTTCTTTTCTCTCTCCCCCTTGCAGCTTGGATAACAGGCCCATGTCCAAACGTTGCTCGGGCCTCAGCACGTGCACGCTGTGGAAACTGTCTCAGGATTTGCACAAATTAAGCGCTTACCCTCGCACCAACGTGGGCGCCGGGACTCCCGGCAAGAAGAGGAGTGCCCTGGGTGCCATGGACAATGAACACTACTATGGCGACCAGCTTGACCTTAATAACTAGGAGTCTTCAGTAGCACGATGCATGCGGGGCTCATGTGTAGACAAGTGACTTATAGCAATGGGCAGGGTACCCCAGCTGGATCTGAAATGCCCAAGACCCCCCTGAGATAGATAGACACAACAAGCAGCCCCCTTATACCCTCCCCCCCCCTCCCCCTAAACACAATCACGCTGTGTTTCCAAATGATTTATTTTACCAAAAATATCACACACGCAAAAAAATAAATAAAAAAAAATGCTATTTTGTCCCTATTTTCCGTCATTGCTTCTACAATGTACAATAAAGTAATCTTCTATCCTGGCCATGCACTTAATTAATAAACCTATTTTTCTACAAGGTTAAGTATTGTTGTTTTAATTAAGGACGCGGAAGGAATCCCTATTAATTTACTCTTGTTTGTTACTGACATCAGTCTGCCGTATAAATGCATTAGATGATTTCCCCGCTACTCTCTGCATGAATGACTTCATTGCTAGAAATGCTGACTTGCATGTGACTTTGCATGTGACCGTTTCAGGTAAGAAAAACCTTTTTCCTTTTTTAAATTCTGACGTTTTACTGAGAGAGAGAAAAAAGTTTCCTGGATCCGAATTATTAGCCCGTCAACGAGGATTGCAGATTTGATTATTTGTACTTTAATCCTTTTTTGTAACAAAATGTTACATTTTTATTTCTTTTTTTTATTTAAAGATAGAAACATTTTTAAGGAAATTAGAGGCCACAAAAATATGTATAAAGTTCTTTTTTTTAGACGGTAACAAAGATGCAAGAGCCGATGCTTTCGTTTTATCTGCAGAGTGAACATCGTATCGATATTATTATTATTATTATTATTATTTTATAATTTCCACTGTATAAGGTATTTGCCAGACATCACATATTAATGTTAGTGCCGTCCTGTAATTGATATTGTTTTGTACCAACAGCGTGACAACCCAGAAACGAGCGTGCAACACAGCCACCTGCGTCACCCACCGCTTGGCCGACTTTCTCAGCAGGTCAGGGGGAATGGCAAAGAACAATTTTGTACCCACCAACGTCGGCTCCAAGGCATTTGGCAGGCGAAGACGAAGCGTAAACGTCTAAACTTAGCAATGACATCAGGAATATGGTAATTGTCTCGCGGCCTGCGACAGCAGCACCTATCTCGGCTCTCCCCCCCGTCCTCAGGTCCTTGGTAGCTCCTTAAGAGATTATCTCTGGAAACAGCAGCAATCTTTCACTATCACCCCTGAAAACAGCTGCGATACTTTGCAGAACAATTGTTACAGTAATGTAACAATTATAGTTATTATTTATTTATTTTTTTGTCCGTCCTTCTGGGGGGGGGGGGAAATCCAGCACTTAGTGTAGCAATTAGCAGATTTGCAGGCTGCCCGTCGTGGAGCCTGAATCCCTCGGAGGTGGATGTAAATCCCATTCGGATCGCTGGACGCAGCTCGGCACAGCGACAGCCTAGTGAAGCGTCCGGCAGATCTAAGTGCTGCATTTCCATCACAGAGTAACATAGGGAATAGAATCACAGAGGATCGAGTCTTCATGGAAGGGTTTCAGTATTCAGCTTTCAAGGAAACACAACTCCGCTTTTATTTTAAACAATGCAGAATTTGCTGTAATACTTAATATAATGTAACATCTGTCTGGTCATTTGTAGTGTGAGAAGCTGCAGAATCCGTATAGAAAAATGAATTTATTACTTAAAGAAAAAGGATTAAATTGACACCAAAAATCAGCATTTGATTGATTTAAATAATAATTAAAAGGGGTGATACAGTGACAGCCAACTTCGAAACTGTAAGCTGAAAAATGGGGGGGAAACAAAATGTTTTTCTGGTAAAAACAAATTTTATACACAAAATAATCCAAATAAACAAATTATTAAATGACCGTTCACAAATTGATCTTCAATATTTATAGCTGTATAAATTAATATTCTTTTACATTTCTTTTCCAGATTGCCATGAAAATGACAAGTCAACTTTCTTCCAGACACATCAAGAAGGCCAAACCTAAACCTTTTGCATCTTACGAGACCGATTCATGTTTATTTATTTCAAATTGTTAAACGTATTATTTTTCTTTTTTAATTTAACATTGCTATTGCACTTCTGTTTTTTATTTATTGTAAAAAAAAAAAGAGGTATTTATTACAATAAAAAGATCTATTCTTTTTATATTATATTTCAAAACTAAATGTGACGGCATCCCCTGATTCTTTATGTTCCTCGCGCCGCGTGGCTCATGGCGCCTGTCATGGAGGCTTTGCAGGTCTTGGGGAGTGATGTAAGAGGAAGGCCTGAGGTGTGTGTGTGGGGAGGGGTGATGATGATGAGATGGAGTTTGGTGTGCCGTGCCTTGATGTAAAATTATTGGACTGACATGATTGTACAGTATGTTACAGGAAAAAAAGAAAAAAAACATAAAAATTTAACATTGTATCAATTGTGAATTTCAGCAAGATTAAAAAAGTATTTTAGATACACTCTGACCTTTCACGGCTTTTCTTTGCTTTTGCCTGTAGTGAATTGTTTTATCATTTACATTGTAAATACCAATCACAAGTCAAAGAAACATTTCCAAGAAAACTCAAGGGCAATCGAAAACCTAATATACTGTGTGTGTGTATATATATATATAAGAATGTGAAAAACAAAAGAAAAACAGTATTGTAGTTTGCAATGATACCTTTCTTTTATAT